AATTTTTTTTTTTTTTTTTTAAATTTTTTTATTTTTTTTTTATTTTTTTTTTTTATTTTATTTATTTATTTTTCATTTATTTTATTAAATAGTAGTTATTGTTTGCATTATTTAAATCATGTTTTACTTTGAATATCAATTCACCAGCAAACAACCCAAGGGGGATATTTGGATTTAGCAAAATAAAAAATAAAAAAGCCTCCCTCCCTCATCACTTTTCCTGTCCAGATAGGGTGATAAACTAATAATATTTTTAATAGGGCCTAATCAGACATGACTAAAGCAACTGTTGCATCAACCTATTCACTGCTGTTAGGGCTATACGACATATTGTGGTTATTGAGGTATCTTCTGTAAGCCATTTCAGCCCTTAGTTGAATAATAATAATAATGTACGATGTTAAATGTACTCACTATAAATATTTCATCCGTGTCCCAGATCTCTTCAGTATAGTAATCGGTGTTAATGTGTACTGTTTGTCGTGAGCTGGTTTATTCTGATTTTTAGGGTGTGGCGCCATCTGTTGTTGGGCGTCATAATGTGGTAATATATGCATGAAACTTTCGAGAGTTGCTCATGCATGCTGAATATAAGCCCTAGATATAAACCATGTACATAGGCAGAGCAAAAGAAACGAAAAACACACCACATAGGAGGGAGATAAACAAAAATAGAGGAACATAATAATTAAGATGGTGCCACACCCTAAGACCATGAATAAACCAACAAAACACCTTATAACACACACATACTAAGAATTTGCAGCAATTGACAAATTGTTCTTATATTCGAAAATAGAGGTCTCATTCAAAGTTCCCTTACAAACCTCAGCTAATTTTTGAAGTTGAGTTGATGTTTTTCAATGACCTAATTAATGCAAAAATTTAAATTATTTATTAATTTTTATGAACGAAAGTGTCGGCGTCTTAAGTCGGGCACTCGCTGCGCGATTCTATGAAGAAGGCAACGCCACGACGCGTGCACAACGGTTCGTTTTTAATGATGATCCGTTCAGTCACCGACAATCAGCAGACGGTCGTAAGACGCAGTGATTGCCCGGCTTTAGTCTGCTACAAACAAATTGAATGCCACCATGACTAAAAACTACATACACCCTAGTTTTCATTATGAAACTGCCTTCTGATAAAATCCAATGAGTCGAAGAAATCAATGCTAAAGAAACATAAATGTATATAGAACGTGAATAAACTGAACTGATTAAAAAATAAATAAAACTGAACTGAATATAGTTTGTCTATATTGAGATCTGTCGTAATTTATAGTTGTTTTTTTTCTAATTATTATTTTTTAATGATGCATATTATTTCGCTTGTTTAGATTGCGGGCGCTGGTCTCCTTGGTATTGGTATTTGGATGTTGGTTGATGCCAGTACGTTTGATTATCTATTCACTGAAGACACACTCACTGTTGTAGCCATCATTACTGTTACCACCGGTGCAGTAATGTTCTTGGTTGGATTCTGCGGATGCTGTGGAGCAATGAAAGGCAACAGGTGTCTGTTATCAACGGTATAGTTTTGTCAAAGTTTCAGTTACTTTCTCTTCAACAATTCACATAATATTTTCAGTAAATACGGCTTAATTTTACAGTTTTGGATAATTTTATGAGTGTGAAGCTCGATTGGATTTATTTGAATAACCCACGAGAGTCCAAAGACTTGCGCAACTTTTTTCCACACAAGAACCAATAAAATGTTGTCCAGCCTCTGAAATGTGTTCTAATTTTTTGCCAATTTCAAGCTCAAAATGTTCTTATTTTGTTCTTGTTTCAGACTTTCCAAAGATAAGAAAATTATTATGTAAAGTGTTATATTCCTGTACTGAATTATAGAGGGTAGTTACACCTACAGCACATTCTTGTTTTTTGTTTTTGTTTTTTGTTTTTTTTTTTTTTTACTTCTAATTTTGACATTTTACCTAGCCTCAATTTATGTTTTCATTTAATTACAAGAATATAAATTATACAAATATAAAATTCTATGAATTATTATTATTACCGTTACAATATTACCATTATTTTTCCAAAAAAATTACATTTAAAAATATTCAAAAAACTAATTGCACGTAAAAACATTTCATACAACACTTAGTTACTGTAAAAGGTTTCAATTACAAATTCAAATACACAATGCAGCAATACAATTAGATATGTTATATTTTTTTTAATTACATATTTTTTGTAAGAATAAAAAAAAATGAATTTGTGTCGCTGGAGGGCGTCTGCTTGACGATTTGTTGTTGAGGCGTTATATCTTGTTTTGGCTAGCGGGGTAATTTTTAATAGTTTACATTACGCATGCGATGTGACCCTTCCAGGTAGTCAAGTCTATGGTACGTGCACCCAGAATGTTAGTAATTAATTAGATTTTAGGTATAAGATTCCACGCTTCATTTTTTAAATTAACGTTTTACTCTTTAAGTATCTATGTACGATTTATGTTGTAATTGCCATTTTAGTATTTCATGGTCAGGTGTCGGGTGTAGGCCCTACTGTATGTCAAATATAACAGATTGAACTATCTTTATGTTCCCATTCTATAAAAATGTTTGAGGCTGATATAACAACGTCAATGGGTGGCTGCCCTATTACATATTTTGAGTTAATTATATATTACATTGTTTTCCCGCCATTGAATAAAAATGACAATTCGTCTTGTACTCGCCTCCTACGACACAGAAGTGTATTTCTTTAACGTGCATGAGGGCAAATAGAACCACTGCTGCTCTCTCAACGTATTATTAAACATCCAATTAGAGAATTTGAATTTTTATGTCAGTTAAATGCTGATTATACTTTTTTTTCATCCACAGTATGTTGCTATTTTGGCAATCTTAACCGTCGCAATGATTGCTACTGGAATTACAGCTCTGGTCTATGTAGATCAGGTATGTTCTCATAGGCCTATGAATATATTTATTTTTTTTCTAAATTTAATTGACTATTTTATATATCATTTTGAGATTTAAAAAAAACTGCCGTTCTCTACTGAACAATGATATTTTATTGAAAAGATGAAATTTTAAAATTTCATTTTAGCCTCTGGTAAGTCTCTCATCGAGCTAATAAATCTATCTTTCTTATAAAAGGCAATCTCTCTTAACCTTACGATATCCTCACACATGTTCAAACCATATCATCGGATGAGATAACACCATTACAAATGACGTGTGGCCATCTTATAGTTCTAATGTATTAGGTTTTAAGCCAGGGTCTAGAGGGAATCAATTTTTTGATATGTTGTAGAAATGATTTTCCTTGGACACAAAAAAATATATCTGACGAAATATGAGATGTAAATGAGATACAGAAATGATACAGAAATATTTAAAAACTGGGGGTGGGGGAAAGGTGGAAAAAAAGATGGCTACGCCCCTTTTTTGTTAATAAATATTCAAAAAATCTATATCTCATTAATCGCCTCTAAGTTTTTTCGTCAAAAATATTATATTTTGACGAAAAATATATATATTTTTAAATTATGTATATAGAATTGCGATATTGTATTTTTGTTGTCATGAGGAGAGCCCCTCGACAGTAGATCTTCTACTTTTGGGCAATCCTGCCACATGACAACAATTACTATTTTTGAAATTTTATATTTGTATATTTTATATATTTATATCTATTTGGCGAAATAAATGAAATGAAATGAAATGCTTTTTGTGTCTTAGAAAATCAGTTCTACAACATCAGAAAATTTTTTCCTCCGGAGCCTAGCTTTAAATACAATGTAGGCCTATACCTTTGTTATTTTGCTTTGTCGCCTTTTTAACAATAATATGCTTTAATGTCATATTTCTGAATCAAAATGACGGATAATTGTAATCATTACAGGTTGAAGATTACCTAGAAGGCAGAATACAATCAATCATTACAGACGACTACGGTAACACACAGGCAGCCACTGATACCATTGATTCACTGCAAAAGGACGTAAGTATTATTTCAGTGCATCAATGGCTTAACACATATTATAGGTCATACATTAGACCTAATTTAAACATGACGAATCACTTGTCTCAACAGTTAATGTTGAATGTACAGTTGATTATTCTGATCACTACCCTGTCGTTATTGATGTCGCCTTATCATCGGAATTAATGCCTGTGGAACATACTCCACAACTGCTGGGTCAGCGCATAATCGACACAATGTCTACCAGGTACCCACTTATATACCTAGGTGGAGACAGACAATGTGGATAAAGTGGCTTGCCTAAAGACACAAGCCAATGGACAACGTTGCGTTCGAACTCCCGACATCAATGTTGATGTCGCATGTGCCAACCGGCCAAAAATATTATTTTAGACATTGAATCTCAACTCATCTTCACCACAAGTAGACTGCCTTGATTATCTGGTCTCCTCCTACAATAACACGCTTTCTGAGCTTCTAGGCAAGCATGACCTCTGGCAGAAATGTGTGCCAGTGATTCACACTGATTGTAAATGAATGACCCCAGAAATCATCAAAGAAGAGGCGTCGTAAAGCCGAAGCGTTATGGCGTGCAAATAAATAAATCGGCAAGCAGTCAGTCAACTCCGATGTAAAATCAACAAGATTGTTGTTATAACCGTATTGAGGCCAATGCCAAATATAAGAAGGCACTCTATAGAATTGTCACTTCATTGATTTGGTAATCCTAATCACCCTTGTTTCCCTTCTAAATGTTCTCCTGAACAATTGAGTGAGCAATTTAGTGAATTCTTTCACACAAAAATTGCCAACATCCGAGAGTCTGACAAAATTAGTGAAGAGTTTGATCCTTTTTCTTTTGACAGCAATTAAGTCATAGGCTTCTCGTTGTCAGATTTTGTCCCAACCTTGTCCTCCTGAAATTCTGAAGATCATAATAAATTATAATAACAAAACCTCTATTCTTGATCCCTTCCCGACTGTTCTTGTCAATAAATTTATTGACCAGTGGTTTGATTTGCAAAATAATTAACTTTTCTCGACAAAAATGGATCATTATGTGATTAATTAATAACAGCAGCAGTTAGTCCTATCCTGAAGAAACAATATCACTTGATATTAACACTTTATCAAATTTCCTTTTATCTCAAAAGTGATTGAAAAACTTGTCGCATCACAACTGAATGAGTACTTTAACGTACTTCTTGAGTCATTCCAATCTGGTTATTGAAAAAGTCCATTGTACCGAACAGTGCTCTACTTAAAATTCACAATGATATTAATTGGTTGTCACTTGATACCGGTAATGCTGTATTGCTTGTCTTACTAGACCTGCCAGCAGCTTTTGATACTCATTGATCATTCCATCTTACTGCAGTTAACTCAGTCAGCTAATCTGGTGGTAGCCACTGTGTGTGCGCTAAGCCGTGGAGATCTTCAGGTCCCTCAATTGGGCTGAAATACAAGTTACCATAGCGTACCGTCTTTCGGAGGAGACGTATAAGCCGTTGGTCCCGTGTGCGTTTATGGCCCATGTGCACGTTAAAGAACGCAGTACACTTCGGAAAAGAGTAGGGGATTGTCTCCCGGTGGACTGCCCAATCACCACCAGAAGGACCCCACTGGAAGTAAGTCTTCATCTAGACTTTCGTGGGCTATCCTTGGTGTTTACACCGAAAAAATCCAACCAACCAACCTACAACGGCTGATTACCCTGGTCTGTGACGAACCGTCATCCAATGGTTCAAATCCTATTTGTCCGGCAGATATCAATTTGATTCCACCAATTTAAAAATAACAACAGTCCATCAACAGTTAAATCACTAGAACAGTGCGCTGTAAATACCAAACAGTGGTTCACTGCTAATAAACTTAATGATGCCAATTGAGTCGGATGTTGTTCTCATCCAATCGAAATTGGATCTATGTCCTGTTAAGATCAGTCACAATTCAATCAGATTGGTGATTCACAGGTCTCAACAATTGAACAAGCAAGGAATATAGGTGCTGTGTTTGATCATCGTTATGACTTTACTCGTCATACTTCTACAACCTGCCACTCAATCCATTTACACCTACGACAAATTCGACATAACCGTTAATACCTCTCTATTGAAACATCTACAATGCTGGTTCATTCAGTCTTATCCTCACGGCTTGACTATTGTAATGACCTGCTCTGAAACTTAAAAAAAAAATCGAAAACGTTCATTTTCATGAGCTGCACGTATATTATAAAATGCCTTACCCACTGGCATCCGTTTAACTTCAAGTATATTTTTTCCAAGAAAATGTTAAAAGCTTATAGGCCTACATTTTTGCAATCTCAAAAGTGATTGACACAGAAATGTAGATATATGTAAAATAGTTTTTTCTTTTACAATTTTATACTTTAAGTTAAATTTATCATGTGCACTTTGAGTAATGCCAACATCATAGCGCCACTGAACATTGCAATTGGCGCTTTACATATTATTGCTGATTGATTGATAACGGTAAAAATTCAACGCTCTGCCAACTGAGATATCGTAAGCCCAACACTGTCGAATACACATTACCTTCCTAAGATTATCAATAAAAATAGGCCTATGTATATTTAACACGAACATCATCACCCAAAACTTTCAAAAAAGCAAAACAGGAAGAGGGCTTTTCTGGCTGAATAGGTATATAGGCCTATTCACACGCGCACCCACAAAAGATGTGTATAAGAGACAGAATTGACAAAATTAATAAAATAAAATAAATTACAAAGATTCAATAGCGATATAACACATAAACATATATGTTCTTTGTTGGAATATAAGTATCCACAACCACAACAACAGCGACAACAATAATCTAGCATAACATTGCAAGATGTGTATAAGAGACAGATTTTCTCCCACTTCTTAAAATTTGAAATAGTATAAGATAATACCTGTCTCTTATACACATCTAGATGTGTATAAGAGACAGCTATATGGATGAACAAAAGCTGCCGGAAAGTTGCTGTGTAAAAGGGGATGATTCATGTGTCGGCGCTCCGTATCCGTTCACCGCTGACACGGTCTGGCAAGAGGTAAATACAGGTTAAAGTACTATAGAATGAAGGGGAAGTAAGTGGGAAATACAAAAAAAAAAAAAAAAAAAAAAAAAGCCAAATGGATTAATAACATTTACTGAAGCAAATGTATTTGAAAACTTATAATTAGCATTATTGTATTACATTTTATCGCTTTAAAAGCAAATAGCTGTTTTAACGATATTAACTTAGAATTACAAAAGCAAGAAAACTGCATTGGCAATTGAAATTGTCTTTAATAGAATTGGCAGAAGAGTTTAGATGGTAAGCATCATCATAAAGGTCATAACAATCTATGTGTATTTAGGCATATAATTATCATCTCAATTATATTTCTAACTTTGTCTTATTTATACATTTGGAAATTTTTAATTTCTTTTATGCATTTAGGGATGTTACAACAGTTTTAACGATTGGGTAAAGGATCATATCGGGGTAATCGCTGGCGTGAGTCTTGGTTTCCTTGTGATTGTAGTAAGTACTTTTCCTTTTATGTTTCCGTGCCCGCCTCAAAATAACCATCATACGATTGATTAACGATAAACCTTGGTTCCTAACAACCGAATAGAGCAACGTTAATGATGATGATGATGATGATGGTGGTGGTGGTGATGATTATAAATAATAACCTTATTAAATAATAATTGACGATGGTGATGACAATGATGAAGATATTGGCGATGATGCTGATGATATCAATTAAATAAATTGTAATTAATAAATTGTAATTAATTAATTGTAATTTGCGCTATATAAAATATGATTATTATTATTATCATTATCAATAATAAAAATAATTATAGCAATTATAATAATAAAAGTAATAATGATAGCATAAAAATAATATGCCTAAAAAATTATAACAAAATAATAATAAAATAATAATAATAATAATAATAATAATAATAATAATAATAATAATAGCCTACTACTATTACTACTACTAATAATAATAATTTGGCTTAAAACAGAAATAGAAATTCCAATCACACTAATTTTAATAGTAATATTATTAATATATTTGCTTATGTGTGTCGTTTTAATTTCGTCGAAAGTATTCATAGTAGGTTAATAATTTATTGCCGTGTAAATATATAAATTTTGTTAATTTTTCCTCAGGTACTTGCAATGGTGTTTGGGTGTTGTATGATCAAGGACAAAACCGAATACGTATAAAACTATTCCAAGAAAACAAGATGTATATTTTCCTGATCACAACTCAAAAATTGTGCCACTAAAGTTCTTTCTAAAAATATTAATGAAATAACAAAATTTAGATAGTATACGTACGAAGAAAAACAACCCAAATGCAGTTCATAACGACACAGTGATAACTTTATAGGCCTATGCGTAACTGCTGAGTGCCAAAGATGTTTCATCATGAAAAGTGGTTTTAGGCTTTTTTAACTGGTAATTTTTAATTTTCAATTGAGAAGCATGTAATTCACGACCAAATGGGACAATTGTCAAAATTCCAATAAAATGAACGTATCTGTATTGTAGTAACCATTCCAATTTGATGTTTATATGAATTAAAATGTAAATAACCAATGACATATTTTTTATGTTTATACATGGTGAAATAATCAACTGTTAATGGCAGTTTTAATTAGATGTGATAGAAGTGAGACAATTTTAAAGTCAGTTTCTATTTTTTGCAGCACCCGTTATTTTGTGGTACTATAATAAGTGATTACCATAAAACACAATGACAATACGGAGAAATAACGTATATTGAAGTCATTAAGCTTCTTTAATTGCCGTGTCGTTGTCAGTCTCTCATACTCATTCATACTACCCTTCTTTCATTTCATACACCAGCCTAAAGATCTTACTCTAGCCTACTGTCGTTCTAAAGATCCGCATATCGCAAGCCTAATCCCTAGGACTATTCATCGTGGGGTAGGGACGTTACTCCACTAAAGGTCATAATGACCCGCATATTTTCCCCACGTAATCAAAAAATGCATTGTTTTAATTTTTAATTTTTAATTTTTTTAATTTCAACCATCTTTAAAGAGGGTAACCCTTCCAATTTAGCCCAGTAGGTTAACTGATATTCAGGGGCCCTCTTTAATAAAATTAAAGAACAGTACAAACAACATTATTACAACAATAATAACAACAACAACAACAACAACAACAACAACAACAATAATAATAATAATAATAAGAATAATACCCTACTATGGTCCTAATGAGTCGCCTACCCCAAATGACAAACTATCCATCATGAGGTAGGGACGTTACTCCACTAAGTTCGTAATTCCACGCATACCCCCACCTAATTAAATCACTGTATGCATCATGGGGGGTAGAGACGATAATCAAGGTCCTAATGAGCCTCATTCGCCCACATGATTAAACTATGCATCACGTGGTAGGGACGCTAGGTCCTAATGACACCAAACGCCCACCTAATTAACTATGTATCATGGGGTAGGTATGTTACTCCACTAAGGTTCTAATGATCCGCATACCCCAACCGAATTAAACTGATACATCATGAGGTAGAGGCGCACTTCACTAAGGTATACTCTTAATGACCCGCATACCTAACAACCTGTATCAAATCAGGTTGGTGCAGGATTGGCTCGACGGGGATCCGATTCCCGACGAAAGCGAAGGGGGCCTGGTCTGGCTTCGATCAATATCTTTCGGAAGTGGTCCAGGAGAAAAAGCCTGGAAGGGATGCCCCCCGCCCCAGTCTCCCTCCGCCCAAAGAATCACTTGCAAATAGTTAAAAATAACCTTATTTTGCGAGTTAGCGCCTCTTAAATGATCATCGAGCTCCCCCACTTCACCTTCGCTCCCTCTCCCACCCCCATCAGCACCCAGTTTAAAGACTTCTAGATACGCCACTGCTGTGTGGTGAAGCAGACACAAAAATGTTTCTCTATGCACATGACCTATTCTATAAATTGGTTTCATTACAGTTCAGTTTGTCTGCTTTAGACATCATTGAGCTGTAGGCATTTCAAATGATGCAATCTTCCTCTCATTTACATTCCTACCTCTACATCTTCGGATGTTACCGATCCGTTCTGACAGTCGCCTCTTGGCGCATACCTGTCCCTCAATGGTCACCAGGACCAGACTCTCAGGACTTCTTTTCCAGTGACCATATTTGGTGAGTTTATCAATTTCAGGCTCCCATCCATCCCTCATCCATTCATGCGTTCATCCGACAATCCATCCATCCATTTACTCGTACCTACATTCAATAAATCATAAGTAACACAATTTCGGCCAGTTTGACAAAGAAAAAAAGACAAAAAAACACGAAAAAGAACCAACTTTAGACACATGAAATATATAGCCTATTCCAATATTTTATTTCCAACTCATAACGGACAATACGCCATAAACCTGTGTCCTTACACTACTGTGAATGGTTTAACTTAAAGTACCACGGACGAGCACGGTGAATACATTATTTTCATAAAGGTTGAACCAGGCAGCCTTCACATATAAACCATGCCATACCTACGTAATTTTGAATTATATAAATATTATAGAGTAAAAATGAAAAAAAAAAATTCAATGCGAGTGAAAGAAATTCGCCATCAGCCTAGATTAAATATAGTATACAGTAATAATACAATTACAGGAATGCTTTGTGACAAATTTGGTTTTCACTGGAGGCATTTTTTTTTCGATTTATACAAGAGTTACAAGAGAGCAGTAGTGAAGCATACACCAAGATTTTGCTTTATCTGAGCATTGGATACATAAATACAGTAGAAGATAAACATATACTCAGACAGGTCACTTATTACAAAGTGCAACAGTATAATATAACAATGATTTCTGTCAGTTACACATTGTGTACCCTCCCGTCCCTTATACAAACACAAACCTATCAGGTGTGGAATTGGTCATTGTACCGATGGCAACTTCCCTCATGATTTCTGAGCATTTAGCTTAGCGTCCCATTTACAATTCAACATAATTTTAGTAAAGTACAAATGAGGCCAAGTACAAAAGTATACTGTATTTATTTCTGTCAGGTATACAATACCTCATTCTGAAAATCTCCCCTCCCCCCAAATCTCACCATTCCATACCAACCCCTTATACAAATGACACTTAGGACAAAGGCATATATAAAGAAGTGCAACAGTACATTGAATATATTTTTGTCAGTTACACAATACGATGTTCAGTCCCCCTCCCCACCTATCTCTTATACATAATATAGGCCTACAGAAGTATATATAAACATCACAGTTAGTATATTTCGAAAACAGAGCCATTTGCTGAATTTTTGCAATGTTGAACCTCTTCTAAAAAATTTAAATTAAGGGGTTTTAAAGAGATTGTAAATCTACTGATTTATTTACAGATACTACAATATCTTACAATATTTTTTTTAATTGCTTCTGTTATCACTGACGATCATTCAAAATATCACAACATTACTCCTGTGAGCTGAGGCAATTGTTCCATTACAAATAGATAAGAATTATTTACAAAAATGTTTTTGGTATAACTACAAACATTATCAACTTATTATTACTTGATTGCATTATTTTGGTTTGCATATTAAACTTCTCACTAATAACCATTAATTACAATATCATATGAGGGGCTCTGAGAAAAATATGCACTATGTAAAAACTTTATGAAAATACTCTATTATTCAAATCATGATAAAATTGATAATAAATTTGATGCATGAATATCATCAATTTTTAATGTACATTATTTCATTGTATTTATAATTTGGTAAGTCATGGTTAAATCAATATAGTTCATATAAACAATTCACAGTTTATTAATCATTATAGATATTATTTTCCATAAATGTGATTGTGCAACCTAATTGATATTGTTTTTCAATAATATTTAAACTTCATTTTTTATGAATATATTGATTTATACGATGACTGCCCCAATTAAAATGTTGTATATTGTACTCTCATATTAAGAATAGTCAATATATTACAAATTGTTGTCAACGTGCTGCATAAATAAATTATTTTACATAATTAAATTTAATATAAATGGCAGTATGAATGTACGTTTCATTAGTCAAAATTCTAGAATTTACATTACTCAATAAATATCAAATAATTAATTAAATATGAAATCTTAAACCTTAATTGATTTGTAGTTGCAACAAATATTCAGGTTTCAATGGTTCGTTAGAACAAATTGCCACCATACAATTAACAAAATAAGGCATTCAATAGCTTAATGATAAAAATAAACACATATTAACCAATAAATAAATGAAAATGGTAGTCAAAGGTATATTGTAGGAGAACCTACATGGATCACTAAATCGGAAATCGTTAAGTAAACACGAAATCTTAAATCTGTAGTTTGTAGTTGCAACAATTGTTTAAGTTTTCATTGGTTTTTAAAACACATTGCTCTCAACCAATTGATAAAATATTACAACTTAGATTTTCTTAACTTCTAAAATCAATGTTACATATTCGTTCTGGCAAATAAAAATTTATTGATAAAAGACAAACAATACTTCAAAACTCTTCTTTGAAAATCCTCTCTGAATACAATGTTAAATATTTCACATTTTGTAAACCTTGTAAACAAATATTTTCATCCCAGGTAATAATAATTACATCAAAATTCATAGTTCAACTATCATAACTATTATTTATGAATATATACAAAGTAATAAATATACATTATTTACATCAAAAAATGCTTTAAGCAATCTTCAATATGTAACAATTTAGCCTTCACAGGCAAATAAGAAACTTATATACCCTTCTTTGTAAACAATACTACATTTTCAATATCTACTTCTTTAAACAAAAAACATTCTTGTAAAAACAAAATGAATTCACTAGTCATCAAGTAACATTAAATTCGATCAAACTTAAAACAAGAATTTATATTTTACAAAAATGAAAATTATTAAAACATTTTTTTCTTAATTTCTTCAAAAATTAAAACATATTTTAAAGGAAATCTAAAATAAAATAAGATTCAAGATGCCACCAGTGTTTAAATTATGTTCTATAAAATATTGTATTCTTCACTATAAAAAAATTATACATCTCTCAAGATCGTTATGCTGCTTTGTAATCGATACTAAGAATCTAGCAAGCAAAATGAGTTGATTTTTTTGTGCTTTTAAATCTATTAATTAACACAAGGAAACATTTTTGTAAATTTATGAATTTATAACTTAATAAAAGTATGTCATCATTTTAAAAAGCAATAAATTTTATTACATTCCTTACTCCTAACAACACTTATTAATATTTTCAACATATTTTTTTAATCATCAATTAATTGTCAGTTGTCATGTAATATTCACAATCGTTTTAAGGTTCTAATTCCAATTTTAATTTTGAATCACTTTGTCATATGAAATGTATTAAATATTCAACAAAATATTATTTAGAATATTGATAAATATTGATATAAATCTGATATTTTGTCATTTTTTTACAAATTCAAATTAAATAAGAAAATGAGTTGATTTTTTTTAATTGTTTTTAAAAGGTTTAATTAACACAAGGAAACATTTTGGTAAATTTATGATTCCATACCTTAATCATATTTTTTTAAAGAAGGTATGATCATCAACACAAAAAACCATAAATTGTATTAAATTTCTTTCTCCTAATAACAAATTATTTTTTAATAATCAATCAATAGTTAATTCTCATGAAATTCACAATCGTTTTGAAGTTCTAATTTCAATTTTGTGTCTGTACATTTTGTTAAGAAATTTATTAAATACAATATTCAATAAATAATTATTAAGGTAAATCTGATATTTTGTCATTTTTCACGAACTACATTCTTGTCTGCCACATAAAGCATATTTTTTAATCATCAATTAATGGTTAGTTTTCATGTAATTCACAATCGTTTTAGAGATTCAATTTTTTTTTTTGAGTCTACACTTCGTTATGAAATTTCTTTCTTTCTTTCAATAAATAAGTAAATAATTTTGAAGGAAATCTGATATTTTGTCATTTTTTTCACCATCTGCTTTCTGGTAAAAAAAAAATTGCACAATCTTGGTAAAATCAAGTGTTTGTTATGAAAAATGGGGGATACTGTAATGTTAACCAACTTAACAATATTTTTGACCAAATTTTCTGGTTTGCAATTTTTATTTTTTGTAGCCTATTCCCAATTTTTTAATCAATATTAATACCAGGTGTCAGCTTAGTCTACACCTGCAGAATAAATACCAATATTACATTTTTATTAAAATTATCTGTCAATCAATTGTTTAGGAATGGAACAACCAATTGAAGTCGTCTTCTAGAGAAAGAAGTAACCACTGGAGAGCCAGCCTACTCCTTTAATTGACACCAAGGCAGGAAATTGAAGCCAGGCTGAAATATACCAAACTTTGTCTCTAAGAATAAAAATATATTTGCTCACATTTAATGTGATGTTCATACGTCCCTGTCATGTGTCATTTAGCTAATTTAAATTCCTGTCAATGTAGTAGACAAAATAATTTCTTACATTAACAACCGACAACCACATATTAAACTTGTTCATTGGCCGTGCTCACACAGGTCTGTACACTTTGCACTACCCATTATATTAATGGCACTCTCCTAAAAAAGTTGGGTGTTTTGTGTCTGTCTCCATTGCTCTGCAAAGTGATCCTCCTTCAAAAGTTTTTTATATTGGCACTGGCCTAAAAAAAAAATCTGTATTTGGTAGTAACTCCATGGGTCTGCAAACTGGTTATCCAAGAAGATGTTTGAAGTACTGCCCACACCAGGAGAAATACATTTCTCCTGGTTACACAGTTCTGTATATATTGGCCCAGCCCAAATGGGCTTGCATTTAGGCCCTGTCTGCAAGAGTCTGACATATTAGCCCTGCCCTTATGGGTCAGCTCATCTCTGCATCCTCACAAGTATCTATTTATCTTCTTGATTTATCAACGGTGCACTTATGAGGGCTTCTGATTATGAAATCTTTATTATTTTACCAGTTTTTGCAGTCAATTGAGTTACCACCTTCCGATAAACGACAAAAAAATACATAATACGCATATGAGTTTCAAAAATGAGTTTCCTTGCGCTTGAATAGTACTTTCTCACAATATCCTGGGGTGTCTAGCGGAGGCAAAGCAACGTTCAGTGGCTTCTTCTCTTCTGCATCTATATAAGTTCGTTTCTCATACATATTATGACCTGGTTTTGTTTGTGTTCTTAGCGATTGTATCCCCTGCAGCGGTGCCTCAGCGTCATGTGTAAGCCATGGATAGTTCTCCGTCTGTTGATGAAAATTTTAACATATTCAAAAAAATGAAACAAAAATTAAAAATTGATGAATATTCAATATTAAGGAAATTCATATTCATTGAATATATATTACAAACTAAAAATACCCATATATATAAGTAATTGAGAAACTGTCAAACAAAAATTATAGGATGAAGTAAACAGTGTGATGAAGTGATCATTAAGTATAGAGATACCAGTGTTAAGATTGAGTGAACAGTGTTAGGATGAGGTGAACAGTGTTAAGTTAAGGTAAACAGTGTTAGGATGGGGTGAACAATGTTGGGATGGAGCGAACAGTGTTAGGTTAGATTAAACAGTGGTAGGATTGAGTGAGCAGTGTAAGGGTGGAGTGAACAGTGCTAAGTTAGGGTAAACAGTGTTAGGATGGGGTGAACAATGTTGGGATGGAGTGAACAGTATTAGAATAGAGTGAACATTGTTACGTTAGAGTAAACAGTGTTAGGATTGATTCAACAGTGCTAGGTTAGAGTAGACAGTGTTAGGATGGGTTACCAATGTGGGGATGGTGTGAACAGTGTTAGGATGGAATGAACAGTATTAGAATAGAGTGAACAGTGTTAGGATCGAGTGAACATGAGTGTTTATGAAGTGGATATACATATAATATTATATTAAACCTACTTCCGTGTCTGTGAATCTTGGCCGATATATCCTTCTTGAATTTTGCCGAAGATAGCTCAACTCATCTGTTTCAGGGTCATATCGAAGGTTCGAGGTTACAAGCGAAGTTTGAGATTGGTATTCTTTCTGTCTCCTAATATGACCAAAACAAAAACTTTATAGGTCAGGAAACAGTAAACAAAAAATGCAGCTAGATTTGTAGCAGGGCAGTGGTTAATGTTACATCATCAAAATTCCTAATTCCGATTGGATGTTACTGTGTGCATGGATTGGAATAGGACAAGAACATCCAATCAAAATTAAGAACTGGTTTCCGACTGTTGTAGCAAATAGCCAAGTAAGATTATGGTCAATTAAAAGTAGTGTAAAAATCAGAAATATTGTTGATTCAAAGTAAAAAAAAATATATATATATTAATTTACAACATAAAAAATGCACTTTTATCGATGGCTGAGGTAAGAAAATTATGATTATGGCATAAGAAATGGCATTCTCAGACTTATATTTAAATATAATTTTCCTTTTTTTCTACATTTTGTGTAATATTGAAAGTTTACAGGGCCCGTGCCAGCTAGGCTCCCACCCCACTTGAATCCACTACTGATCTATATATCTGTACAGAGTAGATATAAACATGAACAGTAGAATCATTTCACAATCAAGTGAACAAAATTGTCAGCAAATGCTGTGACATGCCAGTGAAATCATAATCTTCTCATCATTTCCTCCCATCAGTTCCAGGCCCGGATACCAGCGGACACACTAACCAAACCCCATTACTCCCTCCCTCCGCACCATGTTTGCTTCAAATTGTTACATACCTTCTCCAAACTATTATCCAAATTAAAACAACAAGTAGTGAGAGGAAAGCTATAAGACCAGCAATGATGAACATGTAGGTTTTTATCAACCCTGGCTCCTCAGCGGACTGAGAACAGGTACTTGATGTACACCTAAAAAAGTAGATTATTAAACATAGTGTCATTCTTTCATATTTTTCATTGTTCATTCATTCATTTACTTATTAATTCTCTTATTTATTCAGTTATATATTATCAGTACACGATGGCAGTCAATAGCTGAAAAGGCTTGCATAAATATTATAATTAATAAAGTATTAAAGACAATCTAAAATAGCAAACATATGAGGCATGTTGTGGCAAAATGGCTAAGTTGTAGCAAAAATTGAAACTCAAGTTAATATTGGTATTATCAGATACCTGAGTATGTTATCTTTAAAATGAGAGGTCATTCATTCAAATTGGACATTTCAAGCTTAAGTTATTGGAAAGTGAAAGTACAGTACTCTTAGACTCAAGATAAACATGATTTTGAGTAATTGCCTTTCAAAGTTATTTGTACATACATTGTTTAATAGAATGAACTATAAAAAAATAACGTTAAATAAATAATTTGTTAACCACTTCCAGAACTAACACTTTGGGACATGATTAATAAGACATTAAACTGTTGATCTATAGTGAAAAAAAAATTTGGATTTTTAGGAAATTTTTTGAGCTCCCATATTTTATAGCTTAATTACTCAAAACTGGACTGTGCGACAACTTAACCATTTCGCCACAACATGCCTCATATGAATACATATATATTTCCAATAAGTCCCAATAATTCTTAGAATGTCTGTATTACTTAATCCTGCAACTACTAACATTATTAAACAATTTTGGTCAGAACTATTATTTTAAATATAAACACTATGAAAAGAATGATTGAGAACGACATCAATATCAATGCAACTGTTAAATATTAATAAATGCAACACACATGTTTACAATATATTTTGTTCACTTTGGCGAAGATAGCTCAGCTCAACTTCACTTTAAGCATAAATCTGCCCTTAAGAAAATAGCACAGATAACTCAAAGACAGATAATAATAGAATGAAAGAATAAGCTTACCTTATTTCAACATCGTCACTATCTCCATTTGTTGGTTTGTGATTTACTTTAATCCCATTGGGCAGCTCAGTACTTTGATAAACTTCATATTCTGTGAAACACAATAAAATATGAACATTAATTAAGCCATTTTGTAGTTTAAATTGTGCATGAACATATCGATTCAATCAACATACACAAAAATACACCACATACTCACAACGTAGGTTTGTGTTGATTGACCATGGATGGGCATGCGAGCAAGCTCAGCGCTGATTGATTAATTGATCCTTTTTTGAGCTTTTTTTTCAGCTCCGATGACGGCAGGCTGAGTTGGCTGATTGATAATAGATAATTTTTGTATGGGCGGCCGTTAGGTCCAATATGCCTCTATCATACTGCCCTCATTGGAGCTTTTGAGATTACGAGAACTTGTTTTGCTAAAGGATATTTTGCAGTCATTGGTTATTTTGTGACAAGACCTGCTAAATATTTGTTGTTTAGTTATTTCAAATACTTTGCTCTTACTTCTGTTTTCTTGCTTCTATTTCCTTTTGAGTAACTTAACAATGATTAAGCAATAATCGTTTATGTAGATAATAACATATGACTTACCTGAAGGTTTAGTTGATAGGTAACCAACTTCTTCATAAGGCACTGCAAAATTAATATTGCATTCATTATTAATAAACATTTTGACTTCAATAATTACATACATATATTTCATACAGGAGTTAATCCTATAATACAAATTGTAACAGTAGGGATTTTATATCAAGTTTATGAACAGAAATGTGTACAATATTGTAGACTATGTTATTCAACAAAAATGTTTAAATTATACAAATTTTCATTAAAGTAGGATCTGACAAACTATATCGAAAGGGCGGGGTAGGTGAAATGTTCATTATCCTTGAACCAACACTCCAGGCAAAAATAGCCATAGCATAACTGAAAAAATATGCTATCACCAACACGATTGTCGAAACTTACTTGTATAACAAATCTTGTCATCTTTGTGATCGGGACATGCACACACATAACCAGTCTCACGTGCCAAGCATAAATGAGAACATCCGCCATTTTTGAACGCACATTCATTAGAACCTGAATAAACAATAATAAAAAGAAAATATATATTTTTCTTCATAACTCAACCACTATAAATATAAAATATAAAAATGTTACAAAACATAGTTGTTATGGTAATTAAAATATGACTATTAGGCTAACCAAAAGTTACTGTCCATAATTTTGGAATGAAAAAACATTTCTGAAAATACAAATTGCCATTTAAAAATAACACAAAAAAAATTAACTATTGATTATAAATTTCAAAGTCAAGTTGTAGGGATCAGGAAGTACAGTATACATTTGATGTCTGAACAATAAATGCCATTACAAAGAGTTTCAGGAGACAATATGTATTAATTGCATAGAAACTGATTTTTCTAAGACAGTAAAATCTCTTTGACAAAACACTGGCGAACAGTGAATGAGTTACAGATTTTTAAATATTTAAACACTTGTTGGAAAAGGTTTAAAAAAGGGTGGTTAAAAATTTGTTTCCTCCGAAAGATAATAACAACACTAATTTTTTTTTCTCAACAAGCAACAGTTCTTTTCAGAACTATCTACGTGGTGTACTGCAAGCATTCAATATATTTTATCCTTTTTATTGTTGAATTATTTAATTATTAGAAATTTTGATAGCCTAAATGTTTTTTAAATTTTTATTTACAATAACTGACAGATTGGCCACAATATAATAATGTACATTGAGCTGGGGTCCCTGGCTGGAAGAAAGCCATTTCTGGAAGATCTGGTATGACAGTCGTAAAAACATGCAAGTATCATTTGCGAAGGAATGTTAGTTACCAAGAGATAATTACTTGCTCGTGGGAGAGTGTGACCCACCCTAATTTTTCGGGAGAATTCTGTTACTCCCAAGAGACTTGCGACCCCTGACATGGATGACCTCAACATAAAACCTACCATGTTGTCTGGATTTTGAGACCATTTTTATATCCATTAGATATGGAAGATTATTGTTGAAAGTTTTACGACCTTTTCCGGTTGATTTGTGGCCTATTTCAAGTGATTCAGTTTTCCAGTCTGTCCAATACAACCATTCCCCATACTACAACAAAAAAGAAAGAGGGATCAAAGGTCATAGAAGCTCACATCCTTTACAATTGAAGTTGTTTATAATATTTTCATTCCAAACTTTATTCAAATATTACAAGACAAGTTCTTTATGAACTTGTTTAGTCAATGGCTCTGTGCTAGTGATTTGATAAATGTTTACATTAATTTTGGTCAGTAAATATTAACCATACAACAAAAGTGTTTACAGTATATAAAATATCATTTTTTTACAGTACTTTTTAAAGAAAAATCCAACAAATGAAATATACAATTAAGTTCGCATTCGAGCCATAGAAATGTTTGTAGCAAACCAAACTTCCCTAATATTACAAAAAGCAATGTTACGTTTAATATTATTCTGTGATTAACATATACCGTATGTATAATAACAATTACAATAACAATAACGATAGTAATAATAATAATAATATTAAAATATTATAGTATTATAATAATAATAATAATTAGCATTAACTCAGACTTAAGGGTAATATCTTTTGTGTTATTTTCCCCTTAACATCATTTTCTGAATTGTTCTCTAATTACTCCATCATTTAAGTTCCCCTTAAGGTAAGTTTTAGTAACATAATTATAAGAATAATGATAATAACAATAATAATAACAATAATAATAATAATAATAACAATAATAATAATAATGATTACAATGATGATGACATGTTGACGATCAGTACGCCGATGAGGATGACGATACTAGCATGAGCATTTACTGTACCAGTATCCACCCAATATAATTAAAATGGTAAGGATTATGCTGTTCTAAAAAATTATGTAGAAAGCATGAAAATGATTGATAAATGAAATACATTAATGAGTATACATAAATCTATGAGGTAATGATCTGTAAATATTAGGGCTTTAAAAAATTACCAAAGTAATTCCAAATGGTCGGAAGACATCACGGTTCAGTGTTGTTCGAAGACGTCCATCGAAATCGGCCGTATCAATTCTATTAAGCTTGGCATCAGCCCAGTAAATTCTAACGGTCTGGTAGTCGATGGTGAGGCCGTTCGGCCAGCCGAGTCCAGATGCGATTAGAGTTCTACGTGATGAACCATCAAGGTTTGATCTCTCTATTTTAGGGCGCAGTCCCCAGTCAGTCCAGAAAAGTAAACTATGTAGAAATTAAAAATAAACTGGACAATTACTTCAGTATAATAGTAATCATTGCACATGAGGTGACCACTTAGTGTGTTATGAGGCCAGCCACTTTTTTTTATATCAAATTAAGCCTTCTATTGAACATATAACTGAATATTATTATTTAATTTTTTTAAATATTATTCTTAATATATAAACAGTTCATCAAATGTTTCATATCATGTTAATGAATCCTTCTATTGAACATATAATTGAATATTAATATTTAATTGTTTTTAATATTATTCTTAATATATAAACAATTTACCAATTGTTTCATACCATGCTAATGAAGCATTCTATTGAATTTATTATTGAATACTAATATTTAATTGTTTTTATTATTATTCTTAACATATAAACAATTCAGGCATTTTAGAAGTATTTCAATCTTTTTGCAAAGCACCTCGAACAATTTTTTATTGATCATTTCTCACCCTTTGGATGGACATACAGCAATAGCTCTTGGCTCGTCTATATTAGTTGAAATGATAGTCTTTCTGTGGCTACCATCTAAACGAGAAACCTCCAGCGTGTTTCTACCAGTATCAGTCCAATACAGATTCCTTGCGATCCAATCAACGCTTATTCCATCAACAGTTGTTAAGTTGCTTGTAATTATGTCCTCTACATTTGATCCATCATAATCCATACGCCTGTGTATGTAAAAAATATTAAATCATAAATCATAATACATACATGACTAAAGATTGAATAGGTTTGAAGAAATATTTTGTTGTTGCTGTATAATCCATTATTTTCATCATTTATAAATTATTGATTCATTGTACAATACATAATTTTTTCTGTGATCCCCTCCCACACCCTGAAAGTGTAAACAATAAAATTATGATTTTTGAAGAAGTGAAATTTTTAAAAAATATGGATGGTCACTAAGGTAAGATTGGATTGGATTAAATTGGAATTTGATTATTTTACTCTGCAAAACATTAATTGTAAAATGATGGTTAAAAAGTGGAGTTTTATTGAGAAAATACTGACAATGATATATTTCTCAAGGTTTAGATATAAAAGGCACTGTATAAAGTAATTATTGTTGTTGTTGTTGTTGTTATTATTATTATTATGGTGATGATGATAATGATAATAATGATAATTATAGTACGGATATAATATTTTTATATTTCTCCTTCTCTGTTGTTCAATAATTTAAATGCTGTATAAAAACATCACATTTAGACTGAAAGGCTATCTTACCTTATGACATCATTGTAAACGTCGGTATAGTATATCTTCTCATCCAAACTATCAAAATCAATAGCAATGACGTTGATGAGATCAGGAACAGGTAAAACGACATCCACATGCTCAGGTGTGTCCAGCGATATTCTTCTTATCTTGTTCCGATTGGCAATGATTAGGAAATTCTCTGGTACTAAATGAGTGATCAACAATAAAAGTAAATGAAAAACAATATACAAATACACATACAACATTCCTTATTGTCATAAGAGAGATATTTTCTTTGCTTCAAGTTATATCATTCCAAAAAAAAAAAAAAAATGAAAATGGCTTTTACATGAACGATATCGGAGAGTTAATAAAACTTAACTGACTATAACAAGAACAGGGTCAGAAATATGCATATATGTGTCCTACAAAAACACACATGTTTACATACGTTTACGTTATTATTTTCTGAGACCTTTATCCAAGGGACAGGGCTTAAACTACATTCACACTAGACATAATAATGACACGACATGATAAAAATGTGCTTAGTGTTGAAGAATATAAACGACGCAATGATACGTCTTTGTCATGTTGTTATCGTGTCTAGTGTACAGTATATGTAGCTTTTAGTGGAAAGAGCCATAATACATGTTGTACACTAAAAATATATATATAAGATTATTATGTTTTGGTTTTTCAACTGCTTTGTTTAAAACTTTACTAGTTCCCCAAGTCTATGCGTTATTAGGATAGGACATTTTGGTGTGAATCACACCAAGTATAACCAATTGAAGTCGGAAGACAATTGTTTCCAGTGGGGTCCCTCTGGTGGTGAATTGAGCAGAGTTGTTTTACTTACTACTTGGACATGTTCTTAGATCTGGATTCAGTTTGATTCCAGTGGGACAACTGCAGGATATTCCAGTGGGAGTAGGAAGACAGAGATGGCTACAGTTGCCATTGTTACTACCACACTTGTTTGTTCCTGAAGACAAATTGATGAAAAAAATACTGATGAAAATGATGACAATAATAATGACACTACTAGATTTTTTTTTTCATCTGAGAGTTGGATGCAACTGGTTGACATGTTTATTTTCATCAATTTAGTATTTTATTTAAATATTCTTAGCTTTCATTGATGAAAATCTTTTAGTTTGTTTAAAGTACCCTTATTGTGTTAATGTTGTAGCCAGACACAAAGCAATTATTATTATTATTACTGTTATAATGTTTTGCAAGAATAGGCTGGTTTTACTGCATGCAAAAATTTTGAATGTGAAACTAAAATTCTTTTTCCAATTAAAACCATAGTAACTTTTTTACACAGCGCAACTAATTTTCTGCTAGAATTGGGAAGGGAGGTGTGCATCCAGACAAAATGGACTCCCAGCCTGTACTCTTCTGATTGCTGGCAATACACATTTGAATTTAGCTAATAGTTTGACAGATATTAAATTTATAGAACTGTGAAATTGTACTGATTATATTTTTTGATATAAATTAATATATTTAAGAGCAATTTTATCTAATTTTAATGTTTCTTTTATGTTTATGTATCTTAATCGAGTATTATTTGAGTATACTTTTGGTAATCCTGACTTGCCGATATGAAACCTGTTTTATTTTGTGTGTGTATAATTTGAGACAAAATAAATTATATGAAGTAGAAAATAGTGGAAGATAACTTAATACTGTGTGTCAGTCCCACCTGTAACTTGGTTGCTGATGGCATGAATATCCGTCAAGCCAGACAATTTGCCAATGACGCGTGTTTCCTCGGCACTATACCGCTTTTCCGCGCGGTAGATGCCACTACTTGTCCCATCCACTGTCCAGTACATGTAATTACCAGTGACCGTGAGGCCATAGACCTGAGACTGCTTGTAGCCCAACTCAATGAGTACTCGTCGGTTCTTCCCATTGTAATCGCACATCTCAATTTTCTGTTCGGAAAAAACACAGAAATGTATTCACAACTTGAAGATTATGAATACCTTAACATGTTTGCCACCGAGGACAAGAGTTTGCCTCAGACAGGGTTCACTTAGGGTACAAGGACGCAAGTTCATGTCCACACCTGTCAAAAAATACTACTATTGTATTGCATGTAAATTCACTGGCAGTGGGCACCAAAATATGAACTCTTGCCCTACAGGGTCTGGGAAGGACAGGATGTAATGACCTAAAAATAAATATTATATGTTTGTATACAGTATCATCACAGTTGAGTATTCATCATGAATGATAAATTCCATTCTGGGTTGAGGTACTTAGGATTACTTCCCAGTGGTCGGCAATGCAGTTCTTGTCAATGCTACAGTAGGGAGGCACAGACTTTCATAAAGCTATCAGGCTAAAATGCTAAATGAATTAATCTAACTTTCCTGGATGATGTGTTTCTTCTTTTCTTTATTGTGAATTTAATTCATGAGTTTTGTAATTGTAATTTTCTGATTTAAGTGAGCATCACATGACATTCCAGTGTTATTTAACAAATAGCAAATAATTCAAACTTGAACTTCACTTTGCTAATTATGGTGCCACACTTGGCATATGGGAAGGAACTAGGAAAAAAGGCTCGGCATTTAAGCATTCAGGCAGAGGTAAAAAAATTCTAAAACCTGGAAAGTTGTTTTTGAGGAAATGATCAAATATATGTATCCTATAAGCCATTCTTCAACAACTCTTCAATATTTAATATTTATTTATATAAAATATTAAATACAGTATTATTGTGCACCAATTTTCTTGAATTTAAACTATACATCTAACTAGTAAATATTAAATTTATTAATACTAAAAGATTAGATAGTTTTTAGCAATAACAAATTAAAAATCAATTATTCAAGATTTAATTAAATTGAACTACACTTGCTTACATTATATCTTGCATCAGTCCACATCAGCTTGTCCATCTGTTTGTCAATAGTCAGGCCATACGGCCATCCAATATTATAATAGATGACCGGCTCGCGATGGCTTCCGTCCATCCAAGCTCTCTCAATCATCTGCTTACCCCAATCAGTCCAGTAAAAGTACCTGAGAATGACCAATTATAATAACAATTATAATATAGAGGGAAAGTCAATGACACATTTCAGCATCATTGTGCTGAATTGCATATGGGCGTGGTCCGTGACTACTTAGCAGCCGTAAAGAGGCGCCTATAAGATACTGTACATGATCATACCATTTCATAACGAGAGTGCTGAAATGAACAATAACATCCAGGTAATCCCCCTACTTTTCCGAAAGTAATAATATTAACATTAACCTAAGAAAATACAATATTAACACATACTTCACACCACAATTAGACAAGCTCAAAAATCTTTTGATCCACCACAAGGATAAAATTTTAAGAAAGGACACTTGTGGCATTGTATACAAGGTAGATTGCCATAACTGTAACAACACATACGTCCACAGGAGAAATCGGCCGATCCCTAAAAACTAGAATCAATGAACACAAAAAGGAAGTGACAGAACAATGTAAAGGAGTGTTAACTAGATCACACAGACTGTCAGCCTCAAAGCACCATTCACAACTCAGCCATCACTCACCATATGACGTACACATGATCACGTCCCAAACTGGAATACCGTCAGTATTTAGCCAAGGAATCAGAATGTAACACCAAAATTATCAAAGAAGCCATCAACATGACTACACCCCAATAACATTATACAGAGATCAGGGCCCACACGAACTGCCACATATTTCAGATAATATCTTGAAAGAGACAGACCCCCTGCACATCCCGTTTGGGAAATCCCAAACGGTCATCAAAGGCTAATGTTCACCGACATGGTTCATCCGAGTTGACATCAGAAAGCCCACCACTGTCATATTATAAGCACTTATGAATAAGCCTTGCTGATAGCAGGCAAAACATCAAGAAATAAATAGTAACATCTTAAGAACCTTTAGTACACACTTATCGTTTGGATCCAATGAATTTATTCAATAAAAATAACCATAATGATAATAATTTCACTTTATTTTCCTATGATGGTTAGAGCAATCTAACAGAAACATTGATACAACCAACCAGTACTTTTATCTCAAAAATCATATTTTTACACATGGTGTACCGAAATATTTATGATTTTGTTAATATCACTTCGAATGTTTATCATACCATTTAGTTTTCATCTTGTAAACATATGAATGCAATTTTAAACAATATACGATTATAAAACTTGTTGGGCTGTGTCACACAATGCTGATTTGCCCTTTACTTACCCAGCTTCATAATGAAGTACAATAGCCCGTGGATTTGTTATGTTCTCCCAGACGATAACACGCTGATGAGTTCCATCTAAATTTGCCACCGTAATCAGGTCTCTTCCTGTGTCTGTCCAGTATATCGTACGGCCGATGATGTCCACAACAAGTCCATCTGGTATATCAATCCCCTCCTTCACAACATCTTCCATGAATGACCCATCCAAAGGGGCTCGGGAAATTGTTTTCCTGGCTCTATCAGACCAATAAACCATACCTATAAATGAACAAAATGATTATGTAAGAAACAACAACAAAAACCTGTATATATTCTATTAATTTGATTGGCTAAAAACAGGTCATGTGAGATTGATTTAAAATGAATATTATTTGTGTACTAGTCAACATCGTTGAATAATACTTTTTCATCTCTAAGACAAAAATCTCAAATGCAAATGCGAACGAGAAAAATTAGCCTAGCCTCAACCCATGCGTCGTCAACATGGAGTTGGTCATTCAGCAGCCCTTGCTCCGCCGATAAAATGGCAGGTCCATTCGGTACTGGACTATTTGTACTTTTGGGCGAAGAAGGTTTGGAGGAATTACTGAATGAAAGTTATGCCGAATCAACGAAAAAGGCAACAAAATATGCAGTTAAACATATGGAGTATTTCGGCAGCTTCAGCGGTGAGGATTTCAGTCTATTATTAGCCAAACCTTAACTTGATCTATTCCTATGCCTAGGCGGCTAGGCTTGATTCATGCTGGCCTTTGAAAGGAAGATGGGTCCTTGTAGTATTCGTAGAAGAGCATGCCTAGGTGTTGTATAAAAACAAATAATGAATGTTTCTTATTCGTACAATGGGGTAGAATATTTCATTCGGTGAAAGTTTAGATGTTCTATACAACTCGGCTACACCTCGTTGAATAGAAAATCCAATCTTTCACTGAATGAAATATTCTACCCCATTGCACTCAGAAACATTCATTATTTGTATAATAGCATGCAATCTACATACTGTATTTCTATTTGATTTGCAACAAAAAAATGGAAATGGATCAGACTAGAGTTGAAAGGAAAAGAAAGAGAATTACTCAAAGAAAAATATAAGAAAACTACTATTCAGGAAGAAAATAAACAGAGAAAGGAGAGTGGGATACAGAAAGGAAAAAGGTCATCATAAAAATAATTATTGGAAGACTTAGAACACAAACATTCTTATTTGAAACATAATTTACTTATTTTTTACACTTAACCTTACTTGGGTCAGCGTCGCTGCCTCGGTGGTGCACGGTAGCGGAGCCTAGAGCACAGGCCAAAGGTGGAAACTATTGGAGCCCAGCATACCACATTACGTGGCGTATCTGTGCAACCATGGCTACATAGAAAGAGTGAGACCCACCCAAGTACAGCTCATGTAATATAACTGTTTTTATTGTATGTGGTTTCATTAATTTTTTTTTTTTTTTTTTTAATTTTTTTTTTTCATTTTTTGACTTTCTTGAGGAGGGATGCCATTAATGTTTTCTCTTAAATTGATACCAGTGCTTTGTAAATTTTCAATATTATTATTAAAATTATTATTATTGTTATCATCATCATTATTATTATTATTATTATTATTATTAATAGAGCATGCCAGAAAAAGAGTTTCATTCATAAATACCTTCTACCATGTCAACATCCACTGAAATTGCATTCTCCATTCCATATATGGGTAGGACTACGTCAGCCATGTATGGCACATCTAGCGAAACAGCTCGAATATCTTGCTTCTTTGTGAATATGAGAAAGTTATCAAAACCTACAACAAAATTACAAAACAGCTTTTAGATTTATAGCCTATTGGTATAATTAGGTAATTATTTAATAATGAAAAATTGAATTTAGAAGTATCAGTTAAAAGTACAACAGAAAAGCAGCTTCAACCTTCAGTGCATGCACAGGTTCCACAGTTCGCAGTTGCACAATAAACAGTTAAGCCGGGACATCCGTCAGCCGATGAACCCAACCCCGCTCTCTGTGAGTGAAAGACAACGCCACACTGTCTGCTGATTGCCAGAGGCAGGAAGAATAGATCATCGTTAAAGCTATCCATTGCGCGCGCGTTGTGGTATTGCGCTCTCCATAGAATTTCGTTGGCCTATGACCGTCGGATGCAAGGCAGTCGGGTGCAGTAATTGCAGAAGATGCACTTCTGCAACCAACCTAAACCTATTGTTACAAGTCTGGTTTTGATACTGCGTGTCTCAACGAACGATAGGATTAAAAACAAGACAACTCAGTTCAACAGTTTTCAAGTCCGAAATTTATGTAAATTTAAGAGGATCTTACCTTTTTTACATGTCATCTTGTCTGGTCCCATCAGCACACCCTTTTTACAAGCACAACTGTGTCCTCCTGGTTTTATCAAACACAGATCGCTACAACCTCCATTATTTTTCTCACATGGCGATGGCGCTAGGAAGAAAAGTTTTTTAAATTATAAGGAAACTGATCAGTTTGGGTATGAATTAATCTACGTTCACTAAACCAAAAATTGTGTAGGTCACCCTACTAAGCAATGCAGAGGCTTAGTACAATGGGCATCTAACAGATCTTTTGCCTATGTTCCTTAGGGAGCTTTCAATTTGTTTGACAACGTGATGTTTAGACGGATTCATTCAGGCATGAGCGTCATACCGGGCGTCCTACGTTCTCTGCTGCATACGTAGATTTGGTCAAATTGCGTCCTCCCATCTACGCGACGAGAACTTATTGTTCTCGCATGCACAGATGATTTTTAATGGCGTCATTACGTTCTACGTCCTACAGCTGTCATGCAATTCAAAGCACGCTATTAATGAATACGTTTACATTTTTATACAACATTTGTTATTTTAAGGGAGATTTTAAGTTATTGTTTTCTTGTTCAAACATTGTGTTTAGTGACCAGCATTAGAACAGCATATTAGATACACCAGATAATTGTGCAAAAATAATTTCTTATCCTGATTCAATTTTTAATATTATATTCATATCTTTTGATACATATCAAAAACAAGGCAAAATGGAATCATAAACACAACTACACTTTAATATTTAATAATCGCTTACAATTAAATAGTTCCCAATAGAAAGAAAAAGGATCTCTTTATGTTGTATATCTACATACTTTACTACAGGTCTCCATAATACAAAATTACTATTAATAACAAAATAATTATTAGAATACTATTATTAGGACTCTGATTAATATCCAATAATGATTGATTTAATTTTTTGTTTCTGTAATAATTAATAATAAAAATGATTCTTCCTGTGGAAGCAGTTCTTGGGAGGTTTGCCTATGATTAAACAAATTATGTTGCATCAATTAAATTCCCATCAAATAAAAACCACTGTTGACATACTATCCTGTTTGCGTTTATGATAGACATGGATGTCCATCAAATCTTCCAAGTTACTTCTGATAATTTCTCTATCCAGACCAGTTGCCTTATCTCCTGAGTAAATGCTATTGTCCTTCCAATCGGTCCAGTAAATGCGGTCATCATGGATGGCCAAACCAAACGGATGTGAAAGACCTTGTTCGATCAAGTTCTAGATCACAAATGAGGAAACAGAAATTTTATGTCACTCTTAAAATAAGTTTTTTCAAAAAGAGGCAATAATCAAAATTTGCAAAATATAAGAACAATCATGTTGAAGGTTCAGTTAGCAGTTCATTGTAAATGATTCATCAATCCAGTTTTGAGACTAATAAAGTTTACTGAGAGTTTAAACTATAGAGGGCACTGTTCATGTATATATCCTTGGTGGGTACTAGGGGAGGGAAACAGTGAAAATAATGGGTAGGAAGTAGCAGAGTTATTTTGCACAACATTCATTGGCATATCTAGAAGTCTTGAAATAAGAGCGGGGGGGGGGGGGGGTGGGGCACCATGGTAAATGGGGGAACAATCAGGTGAAGGGCCCCTAGCTCACAAAACATAGATGATTTGAGGTGATTTTTAACTACGAGTGCGAATTTTTTGCTTCAAACTTTTTCAGTTGGATGGAAAGGGGGGATGTATGTATGCAAGTGTTTTTTTAGGGGGTATGCACATGACAACATTCTGCAACCCATTAGAGAATAGAGAGCTCAGATTATTTTCTTTACCTGTTTTTTATTGCCATGGAAGTCAGTCATACCAATCACTTTCCTCCCTGCATCGACCCAGAATAGCATATTGGTATCATAATCTATAGCCAAACCATTAGGCCATGTAAGGTTGTCTCTTACAATATCAACGCGGTTTGTACCATCCATCCATGCTCGCTCAATTTTAGGGAAACTGCCCCAGTCCGTCCAGAACATGTATCTATTTAGTAATAATTAATAGAAATAACAAACACTAATTTAATACATTTCCTGGTAAAAGTAAATAGTATTATGGGAATTATTATAGAGAAAAATATAAAAATAAACAAGAAACAGAAGCTCTAATAATACTCTATATTTCATCTTTAATATATGAAACTCAAACTGCATAACTAGGAATGAACACAATACGCAGCTATACAAGTATATACTTAACCATATTTTCCATATTTATTCTCACTCACTTTTGATAATGGTCTCTCACATTTGATCATGGTCTTAAAACATTATTATTGATGTTATTATTGATACTAATATTATTAATATCAATATTATGATAATTATTATCTTGTATCTTGTAACTGGGTTCAATTTCTTTACAAGAATGTTGCTTTTCAAATGAAAAAAATATTGTATTGTATCTGTTATCATCTTCAGTGATGTCACCATCAGGTCATTTACTTCCTACATATACATAAATATTTTGTGTTGTCTTACCCTGAAATGGGGTCAACAACTATGTCCCTGGGGCGTTCAAGATCTTCCCAAATGAGAAGTGCTCGCATACTGCCATCATAGTTAGAAACTTCGATGTGATCATTGCCTGCATCTGTCCAGTACAGCTTCTTATTTATCCAATCAACGGCCAAACCTGCAGGGCTATTTAAGCTAGAGTCAGCCACAATCTGAAAACGGAAAAAGCAAGTTAAAATTTTAAGTAAAATAAAATTCACAAGTCCACTTGGACTTGGTGGATAACAATTTGGTCCTCAGGTTCGTGGTTTCAATCTTTCGCCATGTATTTTGCATATGCATTTGAATTTTGCAATACAGCAGCAAGGATTAAAACTACTACATAGATTCTAGGTATCTGATTGGTTAAGAAGCAGGCAAAACTTCAGCCATCACTCCTGTGACGTTGGTTAGGTTGATATACTTTTTTCACCCTAAATGACTTTCTTGCCCTGTCGTGAGGTGTAATCTCTAGGTCCCACCTATAAGTTGGTTGCTATGCAATTTATGACACGCTTGTACGATAAAGAAGACGTGACCTCTACGATGCTGAGAGAGATTAGTCCAGTCCTTTGATTGCCTAGGCCTAGTAACTAGTAAGCCTCGTGAATCCATCTATGAGGTATATAAAACATATATTGACTGCTCTAGTTTCGGGAAACAGTGAAATTATTAAAATATTATGTTTCATAATTAACAATTTAAAAAATATTATTAATAATGAACATACTTCTTGGTCTGTTCCATTGAAATTAGCTCTTGAAATAGAATTAACATCAACATCGGACCAGAATATCAAGCCCTCATTTTCGTCCCAGTCGAGGGCGACTGCAGTCTGAATGCCAACCAGTGGTAATATAACATCCGTCATGTCGTCAGTGTCAAACGAAATCCGCCGGATATCAGAGACTCTTGAGAATATCAGACCTTCCTCAAT